TCTGCTTGCACTGTGTGTGTCAGCATATCACTCAAAGACATTTGGCATCAATTTTGAAGATTTAACCTAGTTCACAAAATCATCAAAAAAGAAAAGAGTTTTATTATATTTGCACGGTAGCCTTCTTCCAAGGTACTCAGTCTTCACTCTTTCTATCCCTGCAACAATCCTTGAGTTCCTTCAGTTGGAGAAAGCTTGAATATAAACCAGCCAACCCTGTGAGGTAGGTTAGGCTGAGAGTTAGTCAGTCAGGAAGATAAGAGTGGACAAAGTCTGATCCTATAGATTCCCGATAGACTAACTCTCAAATTGCTGGACTGCATCTCTCTTGACCCTAACCGACACAGAGCAGAATAAGATGCTAATGAAAGCATATTATTGCTGGAGTGGTATGATTCAGCCACATTTTTATGGTAGAGAAATCTGACTTCAAAATAATCCCATGCAGAAATCATGAAGATCAACCACAGACTGAAGCAAACTAATTTGTTTTTGTGACACTCTTGCAGGGACCTGTTGTGCAATGGTTACACTGCAGTACTGCGGGTATGCCTCTGCTTCACGACCTGAGTCTGATCCCAAAGGATTCAGGTGGCCAATTCAAAATTGACTCAGCCTTCCATCTTTCTGAGGTCGGTCAAACAAGCACCCAGTTTGCTGTAGCGGTGAGGTGGACAGTGTTGTTTGCATAATTATGTCGTAAACCGCTCAGATAATACTTTAGCACTATGGGGTGGCATATAAATTAAAACAACAGTCAGCCCTCAAGGATTGTGCTTTTGGCTATTTGCCACTTTCTGCTTTTAGCCAATGGTGAGAAGTGCTGGTGTTACAGCCAAATGGCCTTTGGAAAGCCATGCTTTACTGAATTGTGCATTAAGGCAAGCAGATGTTTGAATCCAAGTCTTTGTCCCACATGGCTATGGATTTCCACATTGCTGTCAAACATTGGCCGATATTCAGCTGAATACAGTTTTCTCTCCACAAAATACAGAAAGAAACAAAACATTCTCCCCAACAAGGAAATCTCGGTATCAGCCATGTTTTAATTTACAGTAAGCTATACTATCAATAGGCAAGCTGATGTTGAAGATGAACTGGGCAAGAAAACTCTGCAGATATGTTTTTTAAAAAGCAGAAAAAAGGAGAGAGCAAAAGAGCAAGGAGCGAACCAGTTATTACACTGCAAGACCTATAAATATAAAGGCAAAGAGAAAGAAGACTTCTGAACTTTTGTTCTGTCCTTAGTGTGTGCACTTCTAATAACTATTGAAGATATTATTTGCAGTTTTTCAGGAGCATGTTAAAAAGAGAAAGAGTAGAAAAAGAGAACCATGGTAAAATAATGAATAGTAAAGGGTGAAAGGGACAAATAGAAAATGAGCCTTAGAAGGTACATGTGACAGACAGAGGAAGAGTTGTGGTTTCTGTCTGGCTCCATGCAGTAACAACCTAAAATGAATAAGAAAACACAGTGTGTACCCAAACCCATCTGATTCCCAGATGCTTTAAACAAGCAGAAAGAAAAGTAGTGATCAAATGTTTTTGCTGCACAGCTTTTTAAAGCAAGGCCTAGATAAATGTCTGCACATTGTTTTTTAATGGTGATTTCTCAGCCTTTCCAATGCAATTTTTTAAAAGGTTCATTTCCCTGCCTCCTCTGTCAAAAGCTGTGGATAGAATCAGTCCCCTCACCAGCTGCCTTTTTATAAGCCTTCACAACTGTGCTTCTGCTTGCAGTCCTGACATGGATAGAAGAAGGAAGAAACAATATTAAGGCTGCAATCACAAAGCTACTTAAGTGCACACACTGGTGATTACAAAAACCACCACAATGCAGCCGTATCAGTGTAAATGTTTTCTTGATATTCCTAGCAGCCCTTATTTATATTTCATATTGTGCTGGAGAAACAGACAGAAAAAAATTGAGGCCCATTATTTTTTGCTACTGGAGGCAGAGCAGAAAATGTGCTCTGGCCCTTACTATAGTAAGGGAAGCTGGTCAACTCAGTTAATCACTTCCATGGTCATAGACCCAACAAAACTCATTAAAAACCTTTCAATAAATGATTAATCATATGACCATAACTTAAAACAAATAAGTATAGCTTGTTAACTTATTTGGATACCTGAGGCATAAATAAATTAATATCTTACATATTTTACAGTATCTGACAGTAAAAATAAACAATTAACAAGATAATGTCATTGATTGTGTGGCAGAGCAGAAAATGTGCTCTGGCCCTTACTATACAGTAGTAAGGGAAGCTGGTCAAGTCAGTTAATCACTTCCATGGTCATAGACCCAACAAAACTCATTAAAAACCTTTCAATAAATGGTTAAAAATGGTTAATCATATGGCCATAACTTAAAACAAATAAGTATAGCTTGTCAACTTATTTGGGTACCTGAGGCATAAATAAATTAATATCTTACATATTTTACAGTATCTGACAGTAAAAATAAACAATTAACAAGATAATGTCATTGATTGTGTTTTTTTTATTTTAACTTGATGTTTGTTTTATTTTGCTGTAAAACACCCAGAATAGTGCCTACACTACTGGGGTGGTGCTGGAGAAGACTCTTGAGAGTCCCTTGGACTGCAAAGAGAACAAACCTATCCATTCTGAAGGAAATCAACCCTGAGTGCTCACTGGAAGGACAGATCCTGAAGCTGAGGCTCCCATATTTTGGCCATCTTATGAGAAGAGAAGACTCCCTGGAAAAGACCCTGATGTTGGGAAAATGTGATGGCAAGAGGAAAAGGTTATGACAGAGAATGAAATGGTTGGACAGTGTCATCAAAGCTACGTAGCAACATGAATCTGACCCAACTCCAGGAGGCAGTGGAAGACAGGAGGACCTGGTGTGCTCTGGTACATGGGGTCACAAAGAGTCAGACACAACTTAACGACTAAACAACAACAACAACTGGGGTGGTCCTGAGTGCTCACTGGAAGGACAGATCCTGAAGCTGAGGCTCCAATACTTTGGCCATCTTATGAGAAGAGAAGACTCCCTGGAAAAGACCCTGATGTTGGGAAAATGTGATGGCAAGAGGAGAAGAGGGGACGACAGAGAACGAGATGGTTGGACAGTGTCATCAAAGCTAGCAACATGAATCTGACCCAACTCCAGGAGGCAGTGGAAGACAGAAGGACCTGGTGTGCTCTGGTCCATGGGGTCACAAAGAGTCGGACACAACTTAACAACTAAACAACAACAACAACAACAACAACTGGGGTGGTATATAAATTTAGGAAATAAATAAATAATTCCTCTTCTTTTAGGCTGACGAGCCCCACCTACCCGGCGGGGTGGTATATAAATTTAGGAAATACTGTAAATAAATAATTCCTCTTCTTTTGTTAATCATTAATTTAGGCATATCACTAGAAAGACCATAATGATGTGCAACGATGAAAGCAACAGGAAAAGAAGATAAAATATGAGATGGATTGACTCAATAAGGGAACCACAGTCTTTAGACCTGAAGACCTGAGCAGGACTGATACTGGCAGCATCTTTTGAGGTCATAAGGCTTTTCCATAGTGACTATCTAGGACACCATAAACAGGATGATTTTATATTTTGTTGCTTCTATATCTGTTCTTTTGTAATGCTTTTATCTAACATTTTAATATAATCTTTTAAATTCTTCTATAATATTTGAATAATTTCCTGTGTTTAGTTTTTGATATTATGTCTCTAGTGACATAAGCCACCTTAGCTCCTTTTTCAGAAGGGGAGGGAAGGATATTTTATGCAAAATAATAAATCCTATAAGGCCACCATAACCGCCAGTGACCCTACAGCAGATAAACAAAACAAAAACAAAAAGCTACTCTTTCCTGACTACCAACCATTCCTGGAGGCGGCCACCACCTCAGTCTGCCTAACGGTAGGGCCCGCTGTGCTTGGCAATTAGACTGAATGATAAGCCAAATTGAAGCGCAAGTTGTGGTGAGGGAAGAAAAAGAAAAGGAAGCCGGGAGAGAGAGAGAAAAGGAAAAAGAGACAGGAAATAGAAATACTGTATGGAGTGGGCCACAGTTTATTAATATAGTTCGGGACACTGTTAAATGGGGAAAATAAAAGAACCCTGCTCCTCAGTCTGGGACTCTTTATTGTGGAAGCCAGCGGAAGGCGAAGAGGAATCCTCTCAGGTGTTCCCGCCATCGCAGTGAGTGGGGAGAGCTAGAGAGCGAGCCAGAGCTAGGCGGGCAACTCCGCTCGCTTGGTGCTCGGGAAGGGAAAGGAAAGGAAGGGAAGGGCGGAGGCGTGTCTCTTCCCCTCCGCCTCTGCCCTCACTCCTCCGAGCTGCGCTGCCAAAGCCAGAGAGGTACAGCAACGCCCGGAGCGACGCGGTGCCTCGAAAGCTTCGCTCAGGGCGGAGGAAGCTCGGAGGTGTCCAAACTTTGCGGGACTTTCCCTCATCGCCTTGAACTATGTCCGGTGCCGCCGCCACCGCCGCCGCCGCGGGTCTTCTGCTGGGCGCTGGCGGCAGAAAGAGCGGCGACGCCTCTTCCCACGCAGCCGGGGGCGCTCGGAGAGCTGCCCGGGTGGAGAGCGCAGGCTGGCCCGCCGCCCTTCGCTGAAGCCGTCGCCGTGCGCCAGCGCGGGGGGTTTGGGTTGCTTGCGGTCTGCTTGCCGGAGGGGCGCGCACCCCGCGCCCGCTTGGCTCTGGAGCCGGCTAGCTGAGCCGCCGCCGCCGCCGCCCTCCTCCTCCTCCTCCTCGCGGCACTCGCCCGAGGCTCGCTGCCTTGCAAGAAGCGAGGAGGGGCTGGGAGGGGAGAAAATAAAAAGCCA